AATTGTCGGGATCCGCTCCGGCTGCGGCGTCTCAGTATACCGCGAGCTGTAGCTCCCTATATACTGAGCCTGGGGTGACGGGAGGACGCTCGTTTGTGTCCCCCCGTTACCCTAAGGAGAACTATGGGGAAAAACACTGACCCCATAGTCCTCCTTTAATGTGACACGAAAACTGAGGACCTAAACCTTCAAAACCCTCCCAGTCCCCGAACTCTGAGTAACAATGTATCTTATTTGTGTATCACTCGGCTGCAGATCCTCCAATCATCTCTGACACTGTCCTTCCTTCTGGAGGGGGGGCTACATCTGTTCCCCATGGTCCCTGTGTGTGTTGTAGAGTAGTCACCGCTCCAAGCTCCGCCCCCCGGGATGGACTACAATCTCATGTTTAGTTTACTGATTTGTATTGAGATTGTAGTCCATCCCAGGGGCGGAGCTTGGAGCGGTGACTACATTACAACACACACAGGGACCATGGGGAACAGACGTAGCCCCGCCCCTCCAGAAGGAAGGACAGTGTCAGAGATGATTGGAGGATCTACAGCCGAGTGACACAAATAAGATACATTGTTGCTCAGAGTTCAGGGACTTGGAGGGATTTTGAAGGTTTAGGTCCTCAGTTTTCGTGTCACATTAAAGGAGAACTATGAGGTCAGGGCTTTTTCCCCATAGTTCTCCTTAGGGTAACGGGAGGACACAAACTAGCGTCTTCCCGTCACCCTAAGCTCAGTATATAGGGAGCTACAGCTCGCGGTATACTGAGACGCCGCAGCTGAAGCAGATCCCGACAATTATGTCTGGATCCGCCCAGCTGCGTGAGTGACAGCTGGCTCCGCCTATCTAAAGGCAGAGCCATCTGTACACGCCCCCTCGGAGCGGGGAAATCTCTGCGGCGAGCCGTGAGTGGCAGTCACGGCCCTCTCCGGGGATAGATCGAGAGGTGAGCGAACGCCGGTATGTGTTCCCTCACTTCCCGATCTACTGAGCCGACCTGTGACAGTCTCATTGACACAGGTCGGCTAGAACTATGCTATGAGGTGAGTGAGAAGCCCCTCCCCCCCCCTCATAGTTCTCCTTTTAATATGATGATAAGAGGTGGAAGGTGAATAGATCCTCTCAGAAATGGCTGCCCGTGGGGGTCACTCGGATTGTGCTGTGTGGCAGAGTAGTGTAAATCTCAGTACTGGATGGACTGGCATACAAGATCCTTTGCAGCCCCTATATCTGTATTTTGTCTGCGTGTTTAGCTCTTTGCCCGGAGATCGGCTGTCATAGCTTTCCTCTTCTGTCTCTGTTGTGATTCCATCTTATTTGGAGTTTCACTGATTCCCGCAGAACAAAACTGGCTGAGAATGATTTATAATGCAAATTGTAGTCGGTCGTTGAAAGGGACGGTGCGAGCAGGAGAGGGAGTTTACAGAGAAAAGATTGCGCAGAGAATTCCTCAGAAGTGCGAGCGGGATTAGCGGCCCCCAGATGCCGAGAAGATCTCAATGACTTTTTAATGAAAGACAAAAAATTAATCAAAGAGACACTCGAAGAAATAAGTAAAACCAATCACTGAGCCGGCGCTGCTCTCCAGGAAAGACACGCAGCAACGCTGAAGTCACAAAGTCCGCCTTTAATTAGAGAGGAACATTCACCCAGTCAGCGCCCATTATCAGACCCACATCCACCAGTCACTAGGACCGATGGACATCATATATACTGTATATGGTTATATCTTATGGATGAAAGTTTGTGCCCCCCTCCTTTCCCAATGATGGAGGTCAGAGGTCACCACTGCAGGTCCTGTATACTCCATCATACAAAGACATTGTAGACAATGGTGGGCTTACAGCCTTGTGGTCACAGTTTGGTGAAGACCCTTTTCAGTTCCTCCATGACCCTCGTGTTCAAAGCCAGCTCCATAAAGACATGGTGTGACCAGTTTGGTGGAGGAACTCGAGTGTGTTGCACAGAGCCCTGACCTCAACCCTACTGAGCACTGATCGTGATCCCGGGTCTTCTCCTCCAACATCAGGAACTGACCTCACAAATGGGCATTTTTGACAATTAAACTCTTCCAGCCTTGTGGTCACAGTTTGGTGAAGACCCTTTTCTGTTCCCCCCCCCATGACCGTCCCCTGTGTACAAAGCCAGCTCCATACAGACATGGTGTCACCAGCTTGGCATTGAGGTTCCTCAACTGAACTCCAAGCCTTAAAACGTTTGTGAGACTAAGTATGAAATGTAATGATCATCATCAACAAAACACCATTTGGCCAAAGAGTATGTAGACACCTAGATATCACCCCGACCCATATGGTCAAGTACATGGACTCCCCTCCTAATGATGGAGGTCAGGTGTCTCCAGTGATGGGGTTCAGGGGTCTCCAGTGAAGGTTTTTCTCCATCATACAAAGACATTGTAGACAGTTGGGCTCTTCCAGCCTTGTGGTCACAGTTTGGAGTTTGGTGAAGACCCCTTTCTGTTCCACCATGACTGTCCCCTGTGTACAAAGCCAGCTCCATACAGACATGGTGTGACCAGTCTGGTGGAGGAACTCGAGTGTCCTACACAGAGCCTTGACCTCAACCCTACTGAACGCTGACTGTGAGCCCGGTCTTCTCCTCCAACATCAGTACCTGACCTCACGAATGGGACAAATTCCCACAGAAATTCCCTCTGAAATCTTGTGGAAAGAAGAGTGGAGGATGTTATACCAAAAAAGGGAGCAACTACATATTAATGGCCTTTGGGGTAGTCCATATTGGGTAAGGAGAGATGAGAATGGTGAAGGACAAAATCAAATGAAGGTGAGGAGAGATGGGTGATGGTGAAGAGCCAAATCAGAGGAAGGTGATGGGACATGAGGGACAGTGAGGAGGCCAGTAAGAGAAGTTGATGAGAGTTAGGGATTGACTGAATACATACAGACATGGTGTGACCAGTCTGGTGAAGACCCTTTTCTCTTCCACCATGACTGTCCCATGTGTACATTACAAAGCCAGCTCCATACAGACATGGTGTGACCAGTTTGGCGTTGAGGAACTCGAGTGCCCAGCACAGAGCCCCGACCTCAACTCTACTGGACACCTTTGTGATGAATCGGAACTCCAATTATGAGTCAGGTCTTCTCATCCAACGTCAGTATCTGACCTCGCAAATGGGCACAAGTATGTGAACCCCCCTTTTCTGTTTTACCATGACTGTCCCCTGTGTACAACGCCAGCTCCATAAAGACATGGTGTGACCAGTGTGGTGGAGGAACTCGAGTGTCCTGCACAGAGCCCCGACCTCAAACCTACTGATCACCTCTGGGATGAATTGTGAACCCGGCCTCCAACATCAATTCCCACAGGCACTCTCCAAAGACATCCTGGAAGAAAGATGTCCAACAAGCTAGTGTGTGATGGTCAGGTGTCCACAGACCTTCAGTCATAGAGTCACACCAGATATATGGACCTCCACTCCCATGGCTAACGGGCTGTAAGCTTCTTGACACTCTGACACAATAAGGATTCCACGGACTCCTCACCATTGTGCCGCGGAGGCCATGAAGTTGGTACAGAAATGGGGGGTTTCTATTGGTACAGAAATGGGGGGTTTCTATTGGTACAGAAATGGGGGGTTTCTCTGCCCGTTCCTCCGAGGTGTGATGGAGCAAAGTGTCCCAGAGATCTCATCTCCATCTCCAACATCTTCTCCTTCTGCTCCTCATGTAGGGAATGACCATACGGCCGCTGGTGGAGTTACTGGAAGTGAAGAGGAAGGAGGGGCACCCCTCCACCGTCACCGAGCAGGTCAACATTCGGGTAAGAAATGCCGAAGTGTTGTCACCGTATTACTGGAACTGGAAAAATAACAGATCTTCTGGCGGGATCAACCGGGAATAAAACTCATGACAGGGGGGCTCGTGAAAACTAAACTGCTGCTGCTGTTCATGCTTCTGACAGCCGGCACCACGGGGGTCATTTTTACCAATTACACTTTACAAACTGTACATTTCGGGGCCGCACCCCCGCCGCACCACCTGGCACGGGT